AAATAAATAAATAAAATAAAGAAGGGAGACTCCCATACTTCAGCTGAATTTTAAAATTAAAACTGCTTTATTAGCACAGAAATGTCTTTCCCAAATGACCACAATTCATGGTAACCTATCCTTATCCTGAATTGTTTCTACTTCAGCATCCACAGAAAATGCCTATGACCAAATTTCCTAAACACATCATATTGCATACTACCTATTCCCCTCTAAAGTGCTTTCTGTGAAACCTTCTAAAACTTCTGACTTTCAAAATCAGACAAAAGTAATTTTTTTCTTCTACAATTTGATGCTTGTTTTTCTTAATAAATCAGTGATAAAGGCAGAAACTGCTTCCACATTCTTTAAAGCTGTATTTGTGTCAAAAATAATTTTCACTGTGGAAGGAGCCAAACTAAAATCCAGTACAAAGTAGGAATGACTTCAGTCAACTTCATACATTTTTGTTTTATTTTAAATCAGTCTTCTTATGATTTGATTCTGTACCCTTGTTATCATTTCTTTGGTCACTTTTCAGTAAAGATCAAGAGAGAACATGTGGGAAAAACACTGACAATGCAAAAACATCTGTTAATAGTCAAGAAAAAGCGTAAGAGCAAAAAGTTCTCTTCTTGTAGTAAGGATTCTGTGGCACAGCATATTTATTCATATGTCACAGAGCCTTCTATATGTTCAAAGACCTTCTCCCCATCTCCACCCCAGTGCTTTCCTGCGACTACAGTAAGTACCAAATTCTTTTTCCTATACATACCTACAGGATAAAGGTTTTTTTTTTTTTTTAATGAATTAGGATAGTAAGATATTAACAAGAGTAACCAATAATAGAACAATTAAAACAATATATTGCACTGTAATAAAAGTTTCCTTCATTGTGGGATTATTTAATATAAGATGAAGTGAAACATGACATTGTATTAGGCTACTTCGTAAGAGTTACCCAAACACAAGCATTCTGATACCAGAGCATCATGGCACTAACGCAACACTAGCATACACAGTGTAGAACGTTGAACAACAGGATGATTCATATTCCAGGCAGGATGAAGCAGGACTTCATGAGATTACATTAACTATGTATGATGGCTTTAAAACTTAGGAATTGTTTACTTTTGGAACTCTCTATTTAATGTTTTTAGACTATGTTTGAACATGGGTAATGAAATGGCAGAAAATAAAATACCAGTTAAGGAGAGACTTCTGCACTGATCTATTCTCCAAAATGTTGCCATTTTTTTAAGATCATACTTGTTTAAATTTAATACTGCATGATTAAAGATAAGGAACATATAGCTAATGCTGTACCTTTAGTGGATTGTATAGGAAATAAAATGTTTAAAAAGTAGTTGGTAAGAGAACAAGTGTGGTACCAAAACAGCAAATGAAAGAAAACAAGTCTTATAATGAACTATTCATTGCAGGCTGGAAAAAAGGGAAACTGAGAGAACTTGATTTAAAAGATTTCAGTTACCAATAAATCAGTATTCTAATTATCCTATGAATTAAAGTTAACTTTCCAGACATGATTCTATAATTATCCCCATTTACTATAAATATTTAGACATTACAAAATAACTTACCCTCTGTGAAGAATTAAGATTGTCTGTGTGATTGGGGAAAAGCTCAAGTGTCAAGGATGGCTGTTTCAGAATTCCTGGCATAAGATCCATGTTTGAGTCACTATCTTGGTCTGAGATGTTACTTTCCAATGAATCAGCTACAAGGCAAAGAAAAAACTCAACTCTAATAACTGCTATCTCTCTGTTTAAAAGTTCAATTATGCTAATTTTATAGCCCTGCTTTTGTAAACTTTCTGCAAAAAAATCAGGTAATAATTTAGATATTATTGACCATATAGACCTCTGTTGCACAATTGTCATAGCATGATTTATAACCCTTTAAACATGTGAAAGTCATTTTTGGCTTAATTTAGCAGGTATGTTACAGTTTGCTGGCTCCTGCTCCAAAGGAGAACTGAAGTAACACCCGATTTACCATACAAACAATGTAATAAAGCTATCTATCATTGTCTGAATTATCATTTGTTATATATTCAACCATGTAATGCTATGTAAAGTAGATACTAGGATACCCACAAGTTGTGGACAACACAGTTTCTGAGGTTAAAGTACAGTCTGGTTGGAGATAAGCACATAGAGTTAAAAAGAAAACAGAAACCCAGAGGAACACAAATACCGTGGCAAGAAATAGGAGACGATGAGGTAGACTGGGGCCTAGCTGGCACTGGGGGATGGCTCATGACAGGATGCAAACAAGAAGCCAGCTGCAGAAACTTGGGGCAATGACAAAGCTCTAGCCCTGGAGGGGCTTGCTGGTCAAATGGGCTGATCCAATTAGGGTGGCAGACCACAGCACTGGCAGGAAGGCAAAGAGCTGTTGCTATGGAAGGCAAAGAATGAGAAGTAAAGGGTCCAAGTACAAAGGTTAGGAAGTTCTTAGGACTGTTGGCTTAAGGATGAGACTGTAAAAGCGATATACAGTATCCCATTCTACAATGGTGTCCATAAAGAAGGTGCCTTTTTTTTTTTTTTTTTTAAGTACAGGGTCTACAGGGTTTCATCACATAGATTGGACTTATAGTGATTTTCCTGTTTCCAGCCTTCCAAGTGCTGGGATTACAGGCGTGCCCCACCACACCCAGTCTCAATCACTGTCTCAGCACACCCCAGGGGTGGGGTCAGCACAGCAAGCCAGGGATTGAACCCCAGCAGCTGCACTCTGCCTAAACAGGCACTTTAGTCCACTGAGCTATCTGGCCGCCCTGAAGGTGTCATTTTTGACCTATTCCTGCCTGGAAGGAATGAAGAAATAGACTTAATATGCAAAAAGGAAACAAGAATAAATAAAACTAACAAAATAAACTCAAATAAAACTGAGTTCAGATTAAGAAATCTGACTCATTCCTGAGCCATAGTTTTCGACTACCATCTTTTCTAGGAAGTTTTTCTACTCAGTGTCAGAACATTAGCTTGATACTACCACGAGATCCTTTTAATTATCAGTTTCTGTAAGGCTCCTCATAAAGACTCTCACATGGGAACAGGGAGGTAAAGGAGGGATCACTCATAATTTGTGAAAGAAATGAACATA